TAATACACGAGTTTCACAATTTGAGTTGAATTACTGAAATAAATGAACTTTTCCACGACATTCTAATTTATTGAGATGCACCTGTATATATATATATATATATATATATATATATATATAAATAAATTTTAATTATAATAATTATAAATTAATAATTTTTTTGATTGTATATTATTACATTTTCAAAATAGCCATTAAAAGCACTATTTTGTACTTTTTTATTATTTATTAATTTATTATTTTATATAGTTTTTGTTTTTATTTTAAAATATAAAAAGGGCTAAAAACGTCTGTGTATATGTGTGTGCATGCATGTGTACAATAAGTAGAAACATGATAAGTAGAATATATAAAATATAAAAATAAATATTTTTTACATTTATTTTGTATTATATAAATTAAATTTTTATAAATATAATCCAAAAGTCTATTTCTAAATAATGAGCATATAAATATTTCAAATATATAAATATATTTAATTATAAATGTTACATAAATATTAATACTTTTTCCTGATATCTTTTTGGCAATATTTCTGCATGTTTTAATATATAAAATGTTGCCTTTAAATATTACTTTTTAAGAAAAGGAAAATTTCAGTAATATTTAAAAAATATATATAACATTTTGGAGAAACCCAAAAATCCTCCGAGACTCAGTGGACCACAGGAGAGCATGTAGGAAGCAAGAGGTGAGTTCTACTGTGGTCCAGCACAAACACAGATTAAACCACACACACACACATGCACATACAGACCTGCGCATTTTCTCATACAGATTCCTGTTCTCAGATTTCAGCTTCATCCAGAGTTCTGTTAGGACTTTTTGTCTCAGTGGTCACGAGCCACCTCTGATCGTCCTGAAGGAGCCATTCTGTTTAGAAACCCGATCCGTCTGAAATTAATGCGGCTCTGGAGTTTTGGGTCCCTGAACCGCTCTGTAATTAATCACCGTGGGCCAAATCTAATATGTCGTATAGCAGGACAGAGGAACAGTGTGGACAGGTGGACATTAAACTTGATCAGAGGGTCAGACTAGTTCTCATTTCCTGCCAGTGGTCTCAAATGAATGTTCGCCACCGATATTAAACAACCACAGAATGATTATTGCATTGTCAAATGTAATATGATTTAATTAAATTTTTAGTTGGTGTTCGTTTTTGTCAGTACCTGCACACAATTCTTGTGTCTAGTGAAAGCGTCACAGTAGGGCCTACAGTAAGACTATTGTTTTGTATTAGCCTACACATTTTCTGAAATGTTATGTTTACATATGCAGATGAGACAAATTTATCTAATTAAATATGCT